CACAAAGAAGAACAGCCCACGACACGAAGCCTAGACGTTCTTTCGCATATACGCGCACCTCTTACGGAATATCACCATTCTTCCTTACTCCGATCGTCGCACCATCTTCTAATCCACCTTGCGCTTCTTCTCTACGAGAACGTACCATCTCCCTCTCTCGGTTCTAGACAAGCTCGAAACCTATTCCTTTCTCCGCGCACATGTTCTTACCGCGTTTAAACGGACTCAAGTTTCTCAGAACTCCACGGACCCAGCCGACCTCTCTTTATTTTCGAGAAAGAAAAAGGAAAAAAAAAACAGTTGGTTCGACGGCATTCGTTGTTTCGCGTCGAGGGGATGCGAATCGGAAATCGTATAAAGACGAAGCAGAAAAAATTTGCCGCTGCGTCGCGCCAGATCCTTTCGCGGAAATGTCGAAAACCGTCGAACCTGCGTGTGCGTGTACGTGTGCGCGCGCTCGCCTGTGTGTGGCAGTTTCCCTCCAAAACCGGTCAGCTGATGGTATTTGCTCGACCAGCTGAAGGGACGGACGGCTGTCAAGGGTAGGCAGACTCGGCCATTTTTAAATCCCCCGTAGCCACCGATTTAAAAGACCGTGCTTGCTTTCCGCTGCGCGTCGACCTACTCGTCCCCACCCTTCGCCTCTCCTCTCCTCTCCTAGCCCCGCCGTGCCGTGCCGCGCCGCGCTCCTCCTCCTTCGACTGACCCTGTATGTACATTCTCTGCTCCCCGACGTCCCTCCTCGACTATCTTCTTTTCCCGCGCTCACTCCTACTCAACTCTTCGCCTCTCGTTTCCGTTGGCGCTAACCGATGATGATCCAGCTCGCGGGCAACGTCTACACTCTACGCAGGCTGCTCGCGCATCCCACGAATAGCGCGCGCGCCTTTTTCGCTATCTCGCTTCGCCGTTTTACTCCGTAACCGTCGCAATCGCGGCGAACGTGCCTCCACGTATGCGAGCCGACTAGGCGGTTCAAATTAATCGGCACGGAGCGACAAGCCGACCAACCGGCCTCTACTTGGATGGTACTCGCGAATAGAAACCTGCTTGGAAGCAACGTGGAGAAGAGAATCCTCCGAGATGAATTCCCTAGAGAGCCCCGTATAGAAATGAAAGAGCTATGAAATCGATAGGTACGCTCTAACGCGACAGGTCCCACACACAGCCACAAAGCAAAACAGATAGGAAAAGAAACTGGAGGCGCACACAGGGTTCTCTCTCGTCGGCTCTTTTCGTTCCGATCTCAGGTAAGTATATCCATCCCCGTGACCGCGGGACACAGGTACTACACAAAGTGGCCAACATCTTCCCACACCTACCTGAAAACTACCTAACTCAACACACGCGAACCATTCTGATCGAGATCCGACGTTTTTAACCGTCTCTCCTTCGGCTTTTTCCTCCGACAAGCTTTTCCAACCATCTTCCTAGTAGGGAGGTAGGGAAGTAAGGAAGGAAAGTGTAACGTGTGAACGAACGAATCGATGGAAATGGGAAAAGTCGCGATCGAAAGAAAATTCACAGGAACCTTGTGGTCATGTAGAGGAGGTGGAGGAGGGGATGGGGGCAAGGGCTGGAAAAAACAAGCGGGAATGTTGCAGCGATCAGCTGAGAAACATTTGGAAAGAGGCCGGTCGCTCCAACTGGTTATCCTGGCGTGGGGCATCTTGGCGGGAAACCTCCGCCAATCCAACTCCCTTTCCTCCTCTCTTTCTCACCTTCCTCCTCCTGGTCTCCCTCCTTTTCTCGCGCGTTTGCCTTTCCCCTACCACCTAGCCGGCTTTCTTAGAAGGAACGCGATGCATTTGCATTCACGAGGGAGACCACCGCATAGACCGTCTGCCCGTATCGTGTAAGTATACACACGTTTTTCGTCTTTTGCCTCGCCTTTCCTTCCCGTTTATACTGTCAGCTTAGAAAACGAGAACTCCGTTCTCCTCCTACCCTTAGACGATGCTAAACGGAACGAAGAGGAAAAGGACACGACGTTTCGATTCTAGACGAAAACGAGATCGGTCCACGAGACTTGATCCTGTAGAAACGTTGAAACGCACACAACACCGAACACGACGCATGGAGCTAAAGTGGGCGGCGTTATTCTTGCCGAGCAGGAATACGGTGAACTTGCTTGCCCGAATCGTTTTGCTTGATTTTTTAACGGTCGTGTCGCGAGGGCAACGAGGAGGAAGGTAATAGAGACACGAGTGCTCGCACACGAATATCGACCGACTGGTTTGCCGGAGGAAATATTCCCAGGCAAATATCAAACACCGATAGAAGGAGATTTTCTCCTTCTTTTCCTCCTACCGTCTACTTACAATCTCGATTCCGCTCTATTTTGCTTGCGATTTTTCCGTACGATGTTTCTGCGGGGCAGCGGGTTCGGTTCGGTTCGGTTCGGGAGGGAGGGACGAGACGAGACGGAACGGGAGTCCGGGGAAAGAAAGAGAGAGGGGGCATAAAAGCGCGGGAGCAAGTTGGAGCGTGAAACGGAAAACGGAACAACGAGAGCAGCGCCAAACGAGGTAGATAGGAGAGATGATGGGAACGTGGGACAGAGAAGATAAGTGGTTCCTTCTCGCGAGGTTCGATGAATGGGGATAGAAAACATGAATGGACTTGGCGAGTGTTTCGACCCGAACAGCTATGCGACGACTAACCGCCGCGCCGCGCCGCCCAACCACGAGATACGAGATTATTAAGCTTCTTCGCTTACCCTTCGCAGTTTCCGCAACTGGATCGTCCACGTTCGCTCGAATCTGAAACCAAATGGAAAAGGAACACTTGATTTCGATGCATAAAATCGGCCGCGTATTCCAAATATGTATCTCCTAACTTGACTACCTTGCGAGAAAACGACAAGAAGAGGGAGAGATGGAGAACGATCGTAATATGGGGTAAATGGGGTCGTTAGAGAACCGGAACGTCTTTCCTCGTTACTGCGTTCACCGTAAAACGCTTCCGGAGGAAGTTGGTGCAGTCTCTGTGACGAACGTTATTTCGTTCGTTCGTTCGTTCGTTCGTTCGTTCGTTCGTTCGTTCGTTCGTTCGTTCGTTCGTTCGTTCGTTCGTTCGTTCGTTCGTTCGTTCGTTCGTTCGTTCGTTCGTTCGTTCGTTCGTTCGTTCGTTCGTTCGTTCGTTCGTTCGTTCGTTCGTTCGTTCGTTCGTTCGTTCGTTCGTTCGTTCGTTCGTTCGTTCGTTCGTTCGTTCGTTCGTTCGTTCGTTCGTTCGTTCGTTCGTTCGTTCGTTCGTTCCTTTCGATCTAACCATTCTCCTGCTCATCCTCTTGTTTTCCCTCTTCTACGACCTTTTCGCTCCGCAACAGCTTACAGACCAGAGAACCAATTCGCTGAATAATTTCACCACGACTTATGTGTTATATATCGATTATCGGGAAGGGAACGCGTTCGACGTTCGAGCGCAACGACATATCCTCGTCCTCGAGTCGCGAGGGAAAAAACGCGTTGGTTAAAAATATACCCACGTATACCAGCAGCGGCAAGGGAGAGGAATGAACGAGGGAGTAAACGCTGGGGTGGAAATGTGTTCATACGCGACGAGTACAGTCCTTCCAGATCTATTTTCGACCCGAATATCTCTGTTCCATAAATACAGCGAATACGAAGGAGTCGCGAGGGGCAGACTAGCGAGAACGACAGATTAGGATGCAGATGCGGCCCAACGAATCTGTTCCGTAATCGTTCGCGTACCTTACTACTCCACCGTTCCACTTCGATCATCCATGGAAAAGAAATTTTCTCGAAAGCAACGCGTTTCCATCAACTCCTCCTCCTCCTCCCCCCTCTAACTTCTACGATCTAGCTCGAAAGTTTATCTGGCCTGGAGAGTATCGGCAACGGTAATATTGCTCTACGAATTGGTCGCCCAACCTTTTTCGACCAACCTGATCGCACGATATTCGGATCGAGACACACGAGAACGGAAAATCCTACGACAATGTAGAGTGGCACGAGCCAAACGGAGGGTTGGGGTTGCAACGCGTTTCACTCCACTACCCGCCACTCGTACGCGCTCCACCATGCTAAGCATATTCGGCTACACCGTGCCAGGTGGTGACTGTCGTCCCATGTGTGCTCATATGTCTGCCCCCTGAGCCCGTACCTTCCCCTACTGGGGTAAGCCGGCCGGCCGGCCGACCGGCCGACCCCTCCGAATACCAAAACCACGCTAGAGACACCAGAGGCACACGTTAGCGCCCCATCCCTTTCCTACTCTACCCGACTACCTAATTGCTCCCGTAGGTCTTCCTCCTATTCCAATCCAGGTTATCACTATCGGTCATTCCCTCTCCCTTTCGCGACTCAGAATTCGGCACCTTCCAATACCACCACCACCACCTCCTCCTCCTCCTCTTATGCATTTTATCGCCTTTCTCTGACAAAAAGAAGGCAAACCGACTCGAGCCGAGCAGCGCGAGTATCGATCGCTTGACAAAGGCCGCGCGTCCCACCGTTACCAACCGAATACATACATACCCGTTAAAAACGATCGATATCCTTGCAAATACCAACGAAATAGCACCAAGAACTTTGCTTCTTTGCGTATCGAATAACCAACTGCCTAATATCCGAACACATGGTAACTCGTAACGAGCAACGTCACGAACCGTGGAAGAAAAGAAGGTATGTAAGTAAGTATGCATGTAGTTCGTTTCGTACACAGGTGCAACCTACCCCACCGTGACCACCATCGAACCGTCCAACGACGCGACGTGCCAAAGCGAAATATGTAACGCTTTTCCACTAACCATGTGCGATCCTTTTCCCCTTTTTACCTTTTTCCCTGCCTGCGCTATTTAACTCTGCATTCTGCGACTATCGCGATGTCGCGCCACTTTTGCATCCCTCTTTTCATCGACCCCAGACAAACGAATTTGAAAAGGGGCTGACGCAGGTAGCAGGGGAACCCCTCTCCTTACATATCTAATCGTTTCCTCGAAGATTCGACAAAATTAACGACACGTACTATGTATGTACTACAATGTGCCGCGTCGCCTCGTTAAGTCGTCGCTCCTCTTTCTCTCTGCTCTCCATGCTAACGACAAAAGAAAATGGACTGCGCGTTATACAGTTATTTACGGTAACGCACCAAGGCGCGTGCGTAATAAACGATAAAACACGAAAGGCGATTAAACAAAGGTCACCGTTCAGGGAGTTACACAGCTGCTAACTAAGTAGGTTCAACAGCGCTCTCGTATCGCAACACGCGATAAACGTCTGTTTATAACGTGCTGAAAACTTTAATAAGCTAAACATTTACCACGTGGAATAAGATCGGTAAACTCGGTATAATCGTTCGCGACGGTAGACAGAGATACGGAGAAGGAGGGAGAAAAATCGACTGTAACACAGAACGGACTGGTTGAATTCAGAACAAGAATAACGGGGCAAGTATGTACAACACCTTGCGCAAACGGCAAATCCATAGAGGGCTGGTTCAATGGTTGGTTCAATGGTTGGTTCAACGCATGGATAGTGCTCGAACGTACTTTTCTTCTACTTCTTCTTCTTCTTCTTCTTCTTCTTCTTCTTCTTCTTCTTCTTCTTCTTCTTCTTCTTCTTCTTTTACTTGGATTTCTTTTCTCTGGTGCATTATTTCTCCGAATGAATTTCGCATTTTCACAACTAGAAGCAGAACAACTGCGAAATTATCGGTCGATCGAGAGGGAAAATGTTCGCGTCCAGCGAAAAAAAATCGATTAGCAATTCGGTCTACAACCGTTAAAGGTTGCCGAACAGAGAACGCTTCGAGGATCAGGTTGCGAGACCTGCCTTACCGGCCTTACGAGAAATGCTAATATACCAAAACCCCCGAGACCCTTAAGACCTCGCAGACCCCACACACCTCAAAGCCTCCGTGAAACCCTTTATCGTCTCTTCGTTATTTTCTCCATTCTTCCCTCCCCGCCCTTCCTTCTCTCATTCCTTTTACTTCGTAGCCCGTGCCGTGCCGTCTCGTCAACATTCTTCCACCTATCTAAATTTTAAATTCTTTTCGATTAAAAGCCATTGACCGAGACAGCATACTGTTATAGGTACTTGCAATTTTTTTATTGTATTTATAATATAAATATTTCCTTACCATTCCTTCTATTGTTACTGCCTTTCGAACAATTCTGCGAAGAAAGCGACGAGTTCATTAATCCGCGAACGATTCCGGAAATCGGTGACACGAGCACTGTAACCGCTTCCTTTTCACACTTTTTCGGCGAACTTTCGTCTAGCTCGGCTATGCGCGATAATATTGACACTCGTTTCAAACCAGACATCCTCTTTTCCATCTTTCAATTTCCTCTTCTTTTTATCTTTGTCCCCTTCGAAGGATAAAACAATCTACAAAGAGAAAGGTACAAGTTAAAAAGAGCACGAGAGAACGCGAAAAGTGGTAAAGAATCCAAGTAGGTAAAGTGACAGCTCTAATCCTTAAATAATGTTTTAAAAATTGATATTCTACGTCCTGTATATCTCTTCTCTTTAACGATACCTTTAGGTGGACAACTGCGCATATAAGTACGTAAGTACATAAATATACATAACCAAGTATATGTATATGTACTTACGTATGATAAGCCAAGCGTGTGCACACCGACACAAAACTGTCGAAACGAGCATCGAACGAAAGCATTTGAACTCGGTAATTTAACGACTAGAAGTTTTACTCTTATCCTTCCAATAGTACCAATTTCATATCGAACATTTGAAACGTGTAACCAAAAACAAGCAACCGCCTGTCAAGTACGTATTGCGTAAAATAATATAGAAATATGCAAAAAAACATATTGCTATCGAGTCAAGAAATTATTGAAGATAAATAGATTTAGAATGAACAATTTCAGCAAGTTTCACGACTGGAAAACAAATGGGGTTTTCAAGGCACTTCGTTCGACAGAAAAAATTATACGTTTCTGTAACTTCGTAGGTCGTCTTCGAACAAAAACAAGATACAAACGATACCAGAAGAATCGAATCGCGTTTATTCACTGTGTAAGTAGTATGTAGGTCATATGTAGGGTTAGGTACCGATTCTTTTATTCCGTCAACGAACAACTGATAAATATAATAAAGGGAAAACTTGACTTTTTGCATAACAACCTATGTACATACTTGAATGTTAACCGTGAATTATTTCGAAAACAAACCGTTGGCCGTAATGCTGTTCCTTCTATCACTTACCCTTCTTCGACAAAGATGTTTACGAAATTTTCCTCCTAAATCGCTATGCAACTTCAAATATATTTCAAAGGCAATTTTCTCCTTGTTTTTGACTAGCCGCCAAGTGGTTCTCCTTTAACGCACCAGTAGTGAAATAACATGCCAAAAGGAACTGTCAGAGATACGATTCAACCGGTGGTCACGAAACACGATGATCGAGTCGCGAGGAACCTTCGTTGCCCCGTGCGTGTCGAGTTAAACAAACTCGCCAATGATGACAGGCCCGCGTAAAATATATTATCGTTGCCTATAACGCCACCTACGAAAGCGTAACGCGACATAAATCGCGAAACAAAAACAAGGACCAAGGAAAGTATGTTACAGGTGTATATGCAGGATTTTCTACCACCATACTTACATACGTACATATATCGGCGGAATCACCGTCGAACGATACAAATAAAAAGAAAAAAATGCCTTTATGAAACAAAGTTTATATAATTTATTTAATTCGCATAAAGTCTCAAAATATCTTTTTCATCGTTTACGCATAACAACGCGTGCATCGGCTATAAATTATGATCATAAAATATATGTCCTGTATAACCAGGAGAGTAACAGTTGTATTCTAAAAACGTCATAAATATGCTGCTGCATCGACTGTGATTGCTGTACGTTTACCGCTACGTTGTGAATATCGTTAAAATAAAAAGGCACCTTATCACTCCTATCAACCGAGACAACGCGAAATACAGATACGGAATCGTAATCGCAGTAGGCACTATATGTATAATACTACAATCTCTCTCTCTCTCTCTCTCTCTCTCTCTCTCTCTCTCTCTCTCTCTCTCTCTCTCTCTCCACACACACACGCATGCTCGCACGTATACACACCTCTTCTCAAGTATGTACACATACATATGATACATATAAAATTGTTGCTATATAAAGCGACAACTCACTTCGCTTATTTCTATTTCGTATACAAAAAAAAGAGATACGCGATACGCGTTGTTAAATATTTTTTCGACTGGGTTCAATCGGACTGAAAGGAACGGCACGATTAGACTTTGGTAAAGGTTTAGAGGATACGACTGGGTATCCAGTTTTCGCTGGCCCTGTTACAAGGTTTTTCGGTTTCGGTGGAAGGGGGGGTGGTTTCGATGATTTTGTAACAGCTGACGATGAATCCGCTTGAGCATCCAAAGTACCCAGAGCAGCTACAGTCCGAGAGCACGATCCATTCTCTACAATGGTCCGATCTCCGTCCGTTAAAGTGGTATCTAAGGTGAACGAACTATCTGGAGACTTACTCTGAGACTCCTTTCCACTGGCCGATGACGATACATGGTATCGTTCATCGGCATTTCCGTTCTTCGATGCCGAACCACCACCCATCACCGTCATCCTCGTCTTCTGATCGTGTCCTCCGCTGCTGCTACAGTTTTTCCGTTCGTGAATCGAACCGTAAAACTTGGCGTTTGCTTCGCAATTGGTAGGTAATATCCTAGGTCTTCGAATCTTGTTGCGATCCGTCGGCTTACCATTTTCCTTGTTCTGATCAGTAATTTCACAGCTTTAAGGGCCGAAACGCATCGTGATAAAAGTTTCAAAGATAATAGTATATACGTGTATATAGAAAGAAGGTAGTTCGTCAGTTATTAGGACAACTGATAGTAGCACGCGGCGTTATAAGAATGCATCGTGTCGTTAGAAAAATACCTATTACTACTATGCACCTCAGAACATGGGATCTTTCTTTCGTTTACCTTTAAAAAGTCTGGCAACTCGAAATTGATCTCTGTTCCTCTCTGATCTTCCAATCTAGACCTTTGTGCTCGTTTCAAACCTTCGTATAAATCTACCAGCGAGATAATAGTTAATTTTCATAGATAATATCAAGTTAATATCAAAATAACAATGTTACATCTATACATGTGCAACTATCAGAATGAAACATTATTTACCTTCACCGTCAAATTTCCCCGGTAATTGCAATTTCACTCCATTCCGCCATTTCGCTATCAAAGGAGGATGAGACTTGCCACTTTCTTCACACGCGTAATCGTTCCCCCCGTTACTCTTCTCGTTCGTATTACACTTGGACTTTCCTCCCTTTAACATAGAAACATACCATTTTTTCCCTCCAACGAGCTCTATTCCTCGCATGTATACAACTCAACGAATAAAGTAAAAGTATAAAAGTATGACAGACGTTCGTCGTCATCGTCGTCGTCGTCGTCGTCGTCGTACCTTCTTCTTGCCGTGCATCGTAGAATCTCGAAGGAAAAATTTGCTCGGCAAAATGGAGGAGGAGCCTTCGGAACGTTGGTCGTCAGACTACATTTAAAAAACAAACGAAAATCAAATGAGTGAATATATTGTAAGAGAAGTGGCGCTGCCGCCGCCGCTGCTGCTGCTGCTGCTGCTGCTGCTGCTGTGCTCTCTTAATTAACCGTTTTAAATAAACAGGCTGCTGTTCCCATTACCTTACACGAGCCATCATTATAATGATATTTACTCGAACCTTTCCCCACCAAAAGCTCCTCAAATACTCTGTTTGTGATCTCGTCTAATGTCGGTTGGGCATTTGACGCGTCGTGCGTGTATTTAACCGTGTTCGATTCTTTTTCTGGATCTACAACAACAAAAGGGTTTCATCCCCCCGCCCATAAACGTTTCGGTTCAATGCCAAATACTACATTTTCACAGATTCTTTCCTTTCTTTTCCTTTCCTTCCTTTTCCTTACCTTCTTCTTTTATGTTCGTGGTGAAAATCAGTCTTGCAGGAGCATCGATCGCTTGTATATCCATAGAAACACGGTGGTTTTCACTCCACACGGTAACCATATCTAGATTAAAACCATACTTGTTTAAAAGTGGTCTGAGCACCTCCTTAAGCGTTCTGCCTTTATGCGCAATCACAGTTATCACTCGCCGCGAAGGTAAATCTACCTTCAATATTTTCGTCGGTACGACTTCCACTTCTTGACCAGCCAATACCGATGATGAATATTTCGCCTCTACCGTCTGAGGGCACAACAAATTTATCGTTAATTACAACTGGCGCGTGTGCATGTATGCGGGCGTGTGTGCATCTGTGTATATCGATATAACGTAGAAACGTACGTTACGAATTTTCTTTAAATCCGTTATCGTATCGTATCGTAACATTATTGTACATTTTACAACAGTTTAATGCGAATGTGCGAGCAACTACTACCGTACTCTGAAAGCTCTATCAAAAAGATGATACATGCATAAAAACCACGAAATCGAAGAATCCTTCTCCCCTTCTCGCTACCTCCACCACGAATTATATCGGTGACAATCGATTAGATCAGCAGTGAAGAAGAAAATATGTGAACGGTTTGCGATAAACATACCAGAAATGTATTTGAAGAGAAAAAATTCATGGAATATAGTGTACACGTACGCGCGCGCACGCACGCACGCACGCACGCGCACGTAACAACGAATCACGTTCATGAATGATTAGTTTGTTAGTTTCTCATAGTGTTTTTCATAGTGATGTTAAGAAATGCGTGAAATAAATACGAGAGAGAGCACAAACCTCGTCTGTAGCTAGGATTAGAACATCATAGTTAGAGTATCGGAGAGCTCTTTTATCAAGGAGGCGTGTAACCACATCTTTAATACTCTCCGTTTGGCTAGTTGGCACAACGGTAGTCGATCCATCGGGTAATATTACCCGACACAACCCGGTACATTTGGCGCGAACCTCTTTCGTTTCATTCGACTGTCCTTCGTAGGACGATAAAGACTACAAGTTATACAATACAACAGCTTTGTAGAATCGAAATGAAATGTGCACATAATAACACAGACATTTCTTTCTAACAAACATCTCCGCACAGTTGCAACACTACGGTATCTACTACACGCTCTAACAATACACAGCTATATATAATTATATATATGTGTATATATACATACACACACACACAATACTCGCCTTTCATGTACAATCGCTCTGTGTGTAACGCGATTATCATATTTCCGTAAAATTCACTAGCATCGTAAGACGAGCGAAAGGATACTTACATGTTTATGAAACGACTGCCTTAATGCCAAATCCCATGATGCTAACGAAGATCTGCTACTAGATATGGAAATACTGTCATCATTGTTATTACCTTCTACTTCTCTTTTCATAGTCGTGAAACTCTTGTATATGGTTTCATTTCTGTTCGGAGCTTTATTGTTGTATTCAGACTCTCCACGATCTTTCGATTTCGACCTAAAAATGCGTTATTAACTTGAGCTTAATTCATCGTATCGGATGGTACATAGGTACGTCCGTCCTGTTTCCTCACTCTTACCTGTTTTTCCTGTTCCACGGAAGAATAGATTTTCTGCATCGGTCTTCAGCATCCGAGTGACTCTTCTTTAACTTGACGCTAGGAGAACTGGTCAGATTTAAATCGCAATCTTCTACTCCGATTATTGTACTTCCTGTTTCTACGCAACGTCGATATAAGTCAGATCTTAAAAACCTTGGATAACTATCGAATTTCATTAAATTGAAAACCTGTTTTTGAGCCTGAAAATAAAATAGAAAAGAAATTCAGGATTTCTATTGAAATAGAGCGGAAGAAAATTGAACGTTAATAATAGCTCCAACAATAACCATAGTATTGAGAAAAAGCATCATTGTCACCTGTAGGAAAAGGTCAGCAGGTGCTTCACTAAGAAGATCCTGCGTTATTTGGCCAGCAGCATGACTGTCGACATTGACAGGTTCGGCTGCTTTCGCGGACAAATGACGTTGGTAAATCTGATTAGCCAACTTACGTCGTGTGACTACATCTTTAGTATCTTTGTATCTCTCGCAAGCAGCCCAAAAATAAATATTCTCGTGACTGAATTCCTTTTTCAGAAATTCCTAAAAAAAAGCAAGCTACTGATGAAAAAAATACGTCCATCCAGGTAAACGTAACGCGTTTCTCGTTTTAGCGAAAATGCAATCCCATTCTTACCGCAAAAGTTTGTAAACCTTTTTGATCTTCCAATAATCTTTCAAAACCGCTCGCCCACGTATGTATATTTTTGCAATCGGTACTTTTGTCGCATAACTCTGTACTACCGTGCTGCATGTCGAAGAAGCATTAAAAAATTGTATGTCATTGATAACGTAGTTAACTGGGATTAAACGAGTCATAGGGGAGAAAGCGATCGAGCGCGTGCGCCATCACACCGTTACCACGAATATTACAAATATCGCGCTTCGAGAACAAATCGATCTCGAAGAATATGAAAATCTTAGTTCTCTAGTACCTACTTATATTCTACTTTCTCAACTCCTTCAAATACTCTTCGATGGCATATCACGCGTTCGTTCACACACGTAAATTCACGCGAATAAACGACACATCACGGTTATAACAAACAATAGTACGTAACTGTACCATCTTACATGCTCAATAGTTATTATTTCACAAGGAATGAGAAAAAAGCGGAGAACACTTTGCTACTATTGCCACCGGTTCGTTATTCACATCCACCGGAACACCTTTTATCCTCGTGCGTGTAGACAGTTTTAAAACCGTGTAAGTAACTGCTCGGGAACTCGAGACGACAACGTGAGAATAGAAAATATTCACACGTATAATACATAATAATAAATAATTTTCCTTTTTATCGCAAAGAACTACGCGCATTGAGAGCAGACGCAACCTTCTCCTACATATACGTGTAGATTGCACCACTGATAGCCATTGCTTTGGAAGAGTTCCTGCTCAAGTTTCACACCACACAGCCTCCTTAGACAACAACACGACGGATCGACTACCCTTCCTATGTCTATCTATTGTGGGATGATCAGGGTCTCCAGACCCACAGCCGACACGAGCAATAACAACGAAAAATTACCAAGAGGGCGCCTCGATCACCGACGTAGAGTCCCGGCTTGCCGGCTGGAGGCCACGGGTTCGATTCCTACGGTTCCTCTGACCAAGCACGTCCTTTCAAACCTACCAAAGACTTATTTAGAGCGGGACTCTACCACCACCTCGAACCTGCAGGAGAGAATATCGAGAATTGGCATGAATCCCCCCAATGAACAAACTAGTCGGCAGCTAAGGCAGCGCGGGACCAAAACCTACGAGACCAAGTTAAGTAAATAATCGTGTACTGGGGATGGTGGTGCAGGTCTCCCCAACTGAGAGTCTACAACTTTTCAAATACTACATAGGAACTGTGCATATGTCATGGTTTCAGAGGCAAAAGAAGATCACTATTACGGCGGTCGACGCTAGCTAACTATTATCAGGGATTTCATCCAAATCTCATCTTTTCTATTCTCAACTTATTCTTCTGGCCATCGTGGACAACACACTTGTCCTCCCCTCGATCAAATATGTTGACCTTGGATGTGCCAAAACTTCGGTATATGTAGTATGCATTCGTAGAATTCGAATTGCGTCCCTCACGAGAGAATGAATGACTTTATCAACGAGATGAACACAGTCTTCTAGAAGATTCAACAAGTTCCAAGAGATGTCTCTGATCACCACCTGTGTCCCGGAATGAGAAATGTAATCACCGATCGGCACTAAATAATACAATTTATTTCGGCAACGTATTCTCTGTACAACTCCCGGTTACAATGATGGCTACTCGGTAAAACATATACGAACTGAATGTCAGCGAGGAAAAAACTGCCATTTTATATTCTCCATTTCTGATTGAAAGGGGTGAAAGTGATCATAGCCCTTAATTACAATATTTCTGAAACTTTTCTCGACACGGTACCTAGCTGCGTTTATCAGTTAGATCCTCTTACTGACTCGAAGGCCAACAGAAGGCTGGTCATCGAACAAAATACATAACCATAAATATTTACTTCATTTATTTAACACATTGCTTATTAATAAGATTTATACAATTACGTACTACCGTAACGAATGATCGATAGGAAGGAGAAAAATGTCGTATCGATTCGAAGAAAATCGAAAAAGGTGGAGTCATGGTTAATTCTTGGAACAATATCGAAATGCATCGGTACACCATATCGTATCGTATCGTATCGTATCGCTTTGACGAAGTCGACTACTGATCATTAATCAAATGATTGAACCTTCATTTTCTACCCTTCTTCGTAGAGCAACGACGAAAACAAAATGCGCCAATTTCGTTTTGTTAACTAGTTGATGAAGTTGATCTAATATGAGTGGGCTGATTAATCTTGGAAAATTGAAATATACCAAACAACTGCAAATCGTTAAACGATGTTTTAACAATATCGTAAAATATCAACCGTCTTGTGCAGCACGTACCGATTTCACCGCGGTATCCATGTCGTGATCGGAGATCGTATTTCTTCCTGTAGCCGCGCCACAGTTCCATTTACCGAGGGAAAGATAAAAATACTTCTACGAACGCAATACAATTTGTAAATAATATTTGTAAAATAATATTCTTCAAATTAGCCATTAAAATAGCCTTGCGTCCTGTTCGTAGCAATAAGGGCTCCGCCCAACTGCAACGATGCACCGTTGACAATTATGATTCCGCGCACAGTGTCCGTTCAATGCAATGGTCAGCCGAACACGATGTACATCGACACAACCGACGCGATCACACGATCGCGACTTGTTTCGATCGAATCGACAGTTTTTACACGAGTATTCCTTCGATAAATTCTTCCAAATAATTACTCTAAGGAACACAATACACAAATCATCACTATTATAACCGTTACAATCAACGTCACGTTCATTTCATGCCTAACACGTCACTCTCATGTGCACTACCGCTACGAGTATGTATTTGCCCGTACTTCATTTCCTTCTCTCTCTTTTTCCCTCTCCTACTCGACGTGCTCGGTCGGTCTTTTCTTCGTATGTACGTATGTTCATTCGTTCGTTCGGTCGGTCGGTTGTTCGTTTAGTTGTTCAGCTGGTCGGTTTGTTGGTTAATCAGTCTGTCGGTAGCTCCACTTATGTTTCATTATTTTTCCATATATTTCATTCTCCTTTTAAATTTACTTTATCTTATTCAAAAATTATAAAAATATGACTGCCCCCCCCCCCCCCCTCTCTCCATTTCTCTCTTTCACGCGCGCGCGTACATGCAGTGTGTTGCAAAGCTTTGCCGAAACCCAAGAACTGCCACAAACACATTGCAGCGGTGGTTCTATGTGAAATGGCGTACAATGCGCGTCTCAATGCGCGGACATCATTCTGTCATCAGCCGTCCAACAGTTCGCATCGAAACGGCTATTGATAAATAAATCTGTACTATAAAGAAAAAGTATATTGTTTTATTTAAAATCTAGCTATTTTATTTTTTTTATCTGATACTTTATCGTCAATTGCAATGAGCACTCAAAGTGTTTATGCAATCAAATTTCACAGTAATTTGTATTTGGGTAATAAACAATTTCAATCTTAATACACTTCAACCACCGTGTCAATATCTTTCCTTTAAATATATGCATTCTCTGTTATATCATTTCTAGTTATAATTTTTTCATTTCTCCGATGATGTTTATGTCACGATGCAATATTGTATTCGTGTGAAAAATACATATCACTATTGGCTTTAAACATACAATTGAAGAACCATTCTTCGTCAAGAGTGAAGGGCATAATACGAATTAGAATGTCGGTATGTTAGTTATCAATTTAGCGTCACCATAAATACATGAGCGTCGCAGCCGCAGCTGCTGTCACAATGATATCTGCGCATCGAGACTTGCGCATCGTACGCCATTTCACATAGAACCACCGCCGCTGTGCGTTTGTATATTTCTAGGGTTTCGCAAAAGTGATGAGACTACCCAGTGTACACACTCACTCTCTCGCTCGCTCACTCACTCACTCACTCACTCACTCACTCACGCACGCACGCACGCACTTATTCATTAGCTCTTCCTCTTTCTTTTCCTTAGTCTTATTTTCCTATTAACATCTTCGAATATTTCATTTGTCTTTTTATTTCAAAATACTCGTTCAAACATTTCAATAGTTTTCTTTTTTCTCTTTTTCTCTTTTTTTTTTAAATTATGTTTCGTCTTTTTTTATTGCGATAATTTCAAATTTTGAATCAACAAATCATTTGAAGATTAATCAATTCAATTAAATTTCTTTATAAGAAAAAATATTAGATTAAAGCTTACCAGACAAGTATCCTGCACACAGGCTCCAACATTTCGAATTTCCTGTAAACTTCCCCAAGGACGTGAATTATCCGATTTATCTGAATAGGTTTGGCACAGTGGTCGAACGTAATCCATGCTGGTAGTATTTAGGTCTTCGAAACTATGCACTAAAGACTTGGAAATACCAGAAAATACTTTTGGACTAAATTTGTCCCGCGTGTCGTCAGTTCCCGTTAGTTTTCCTAATCCCGTAACTCTCGGCAATCGATTCGATTTGATTATAGAATCATCGGATGTCTCGATTGAATCGTCTATACTGTGCAGCATCGCGGTGGTACAAACGGACACGAGGGAACCAACGGACGAACTAACCAACCCCTGCTTAACCGTTGAAGCAGATGGTAATGGACAGGTGGGCAAATCTCCCCTCTTCGTTCCTTTTTGTGTACCGGAATTCGTTTCAGAATTTTCTATCGTTTCTGTACACGTACTCATTCCATTATAAAAATCATTAAAAACGACACTTTCACGAGACAATTCCGTGTTACCTTTACACATATCCGATTTATTCGCTTCATTCCAGCATGCGTTCGATACAGCTCGTACAGTCAATCTTAAGTCAACCGCCTCGTTACCGTACAATTTTGAAGAATATTCACATGCATCCTGAAAATATACCATCGTTCAAGGCAAACTTTATTATTAAATAGAATAACAGAAAAATAGTTTAGCTTTCGATTCTACCATTTCCAGCTGAAATACTTCTTTACAATACATGGATAAATAAACCAACAAAATGCAACACAATTGTTTAATCTTCAACAACTTGCGTCGTAAGTAAAAAGAAGTAAGGAAAAACTGTATAGGTTTCAATATTATATTACATATATATCATCTAAGGTTTAATTAAATCAAACTTACTGCAATAAACGTGATAATCAACATACCCTGTATTCTGAAGCTGGACATCTCCTTCGGGAAGCATTTTGTATAATATTTTTATCAGAGCGGCTTGTACAGTCATCCTTGTAACCAATTCCTGAGTCACTGTTACTTGAATGAGCCGTCGATGTACTTATATTACTTGGCTGTGGAGAAGCAGTTTCTTGATGTCTTCTCATTTCATTATATGGATTTGTATCGGTAGCTGTAGAATCTGATATGTATAAAGTTTGTATAGCACCAATGAGACCATTGCAACTGTCTGGAAATTCTTGACATACGTTTAATTCGGAAGTTTTCGTGCACGTAAATCCAAATATATTGCACACGCTAGAATGTACTGTATGATCGATTAATTTATAATAAATTGTAAAAACATGGCATGAATTTGAAACGATATTTTCTTTATCTTTAACAGATTTAGTTAGTATGCCAAAATACTGCTTGTCTTGCTCAGAAAAAGAATTACAAAATATTATTCTGTAGGATGGATATTCTGCTATAATACGATTCTCTGAATTGGTCAGCTTTATATTTGCCACATGTATGGTTAACAACACTGTAGTTGGATTTCTTTTTTCAGCCTTTAATCGTTTGATACATTTTCTCAATACCTGGAAAGAAAAATAGGCAAAAATTACTACTAAATGACACTTTTGTATAAAATCACAAAATAAAACATCTTTTTATTAGTAGTAGTAGTAGTAGTAGTAGTAGTAGTATTACCAAAATTAAACATTACCTGCATCATACAAGATGGATGCAACTGATTCGGAATATCTATAGTTCCAAGGTAACCAACAACCGTTCTATGCACTATTTTCTCTGAGTCTCTTTTATGAGAAGCTGGTGGTGGTGGTGGTGGAAGAGGGCTTGACATATCCCAATGATAATGTAAGTCGCAATATGTCCCGTGACCTTGCAATTCAGGTGGTGTTTTTCCTGTTGCATCAAACATAGCACCACTTTGTAAATCTCGCACAACTTTGGCAACTCTACATTGTAATTGCAATGCTCCCATGTTGCTCGCACGTGGTTTATGAATGTATTTCGGCTTGCAACGTACTGTTGTTACTCCTTCTTCGTCAGAAGAATCAGAATAATAATTTTCAGCTATTTGTAATCTCAGAGTACCCTTAGAACGACCAATTAATTGTACAACATCATCATGGGGCAGTTTGCTAACATTGTGACCATTCACTGACACTAAATAATCACCAGCTCGTAATCCGGCAATATCTGCTGGACTCCCTGGAACAATGCAACTCAATATGCAAGGTTGCTGTCCCGAAATCGTAAAACCAAATCCTTTCATTCCACGCAATACTTCTACTGCCCTTACGCCGTAATTTACTCGCTTTTTCTTCCTTCTGTTTTGGTGCATTCTTATATTTTCTGCTCATCAATTTTCATACAGGTTTCAATTAATTCTTCAAAATTCTCGACTAAAAACTATCGTCGGACTAACACTTTCACGATCCAGAGAAACTTCCTTCACTCATCCTTCCCGTCTAAATTATATTTCCATTAACTTTCCTTCACTTTTTTAACCAATAAATAAATACTTGGAAATTAAATGTTTTTTTTATTCTACTACACGATCAACCGTATTGACCATTGATAATCAATTCTCATCTGAAATCGATTGTCGGCCGTTTACACTACGATTTGTGACGGCGTTCTTTCTGCGCTCTTGCACCTCTTTCTCTCGCACTGTAGTACTATATCACCAAACATTCAAACATATTCCTCTCAATTTTTCCGTGCTTATAAACGTTTCTAATTATTGCCGTTAAGATACGCTGCGATATCTATTTAATACATCTAAACACACGAACAACTACAAAATATTTTGGTAATCTCATTATTCTTTTTCTTTTGCTCCTATCCTTTCACTCCCTCCACTTTTCTTTCATTTACATCATTGTTTGTACCCATATCCATCGATCCATACACTTCCGGTATACAAATGCACGTTTTCATAGAAATTTTATGATGTAAAATTTCCTTTCTTTGTGCCGAATATTCCCTTTATAGAATGACAGTTCCAATGCTCTTACAAAACTTTCTTCTCTCCTAAATTTATGTCATTTCTTTTCCATTTTCCATTAGTTCAGTATTGAAAACGACAAAATACTATACTGCAAAATAAGTCTCTTTCATATCTACGTTTTTCGTTCCTCCTTTTTGTTTTTGTTTTTTTTTTATTATAAAAAAAATTCACTTCTACCTCATCCTTTGATAAGCTCATAGATTTTCAAGAAATGTACATAATGAAGATTAATTATGATAAAAAATTTCGGACAGCTCTTAAAATTCATTTACATCATAATTTCTAAAATAGAGACGGATTCGGTAAAGTGAATCATCAATTATCAGTATCGTGAAATGTAACGTCTCAAAATTAGGATGATCACAACGTATATGTACTTTCGATCATTTTTATTGTTCTTCCTAAAACAGTTACGTGCATTTTACTCGATTTCTAATTGTGTATTATTTCTGGAAAATCGCCGATGCTAGTGAATGAACATCAAATATAAATTTTATATAATTTATATAACATTATAAGAAAACCAAAAGATGCCAAGTATTATACATACAGATGATGTGAGTGTAAAACGTTTCGATGATAACCTGTAAATCGTTTCGTTACGTTTGGATAGATGTACGTGCTGGATAGATGTGTGATGAATTGTATGGTTGACATTGATTCAGAGTATAAATGAAACATTTTCCCTTTTCTTTCCTATAACTGTGCATTTTACGCATTAAAATATTATCGTGGGTTTTAAATAACATTTCGAAAGAAGTGATTTTGAATATTAGAAAGATTAGGTTCGTAAACAATTTTAGAGATACTATATAAACGTAAAAATATTCATATATAATGGAATCCGACGTAGTTACTTGGAAAATAGTTCCAAATACAGTTGCAAACAGAATGAGAAATCACTCTTTCATACATAAACTGCTACCATCCAGAAGATTACGTCGTCGAAGTAAGGCTATGAATGTTGCAATTAAACAGTCTCGTAACTTGAAATCATATAGTCATTATGTTAAAATGAAAACTGCAATTCTTCGAAATGTATTAGATGACAGTGAAACTGAGGCAGATGATATTTTTACAGAGGATGACTATGCTATTTTTTATAAGTCTAAGTTAAGTTTGATAAATTACAGAACAAGGATGTCTACAGGAAGTAAATATTCTTTTAAAGTAGAACTTGAAAGTGATGATAATGACATTGTATCAAACAAAAGGAATAAAAACACTCGTAAAAAATCTAAAAACAAATCTTTTGAAAATGTAAACATAGGTTGGCAGAAAGTTGTTATAGAAAAAAATAAATCTGCCTGCCTTTTAACAAGAAAGAAAACAAGGAGCGAAAACAATTCTATCAAGTACCCTGATTCAATTTGTTCTCAAATGGATAATGACACAGGTTTTCCAAACTGTTCTCAAAAAAATGCTTCACATCTGAAGAATGAGGTATTAATAAACACTGAATCATGTATGGCAGAGAAATCTGTAGAGTTGTGTGCTAATATCTCTATAAATTCTGGTCAAGAGATGCCCGATACATCTGTTCTTCAAGAAATTGCAAACAATAGTAGTGAATCTATAAATTCAGATTCTAGGATTAATGAAATCAGCGAAGAAAAGTTTCAATTGGATGAAAATCGTAGGTGTAATATGCTTGAGAGTTCCAAAGTTCAAACACAAAATAAGAGAAAGGAAAAGAAGAATTTACCATCTTTATTATATAATGCTGATGAAATTCACAGTGGAAATGATTCTTATACAGATGCAAAGACAGATTTGGATCAAGATCATTTGACATGTTTAGACAAAAAAGAAAATATTACAGAAGCATCTGTGGATGAATTTGCAGAAAATGACAAATCTCATAAAATTGAATCTTCAATTATCATTAATACATGTCAACCAAAGGATTCAGGTATTGAAGAAGATACAGAAGAAGAATTTCCAGAACATGGAGATAAAGATTATCGAAAAGTTAAATATAAGACTAGAAGAAAGGAACAAAATATATCAGATACTTCCTTTCCTTTGAACTATAAAAGTAATTCAACAGATAATGGTGTAAATATAAAATTAGAAAATCATAATATGTCAAACAAATCAGATTTTACAGATACAACATTATTTTGCAAATATAAAAATGCAAGTAATGTAGAAGAACATGAGGAGAAGGTGCAGAAACATAAACTACAACCCAAAGTTACTCATACAGAAATTGTCAATACAAAGTATAAAATAATACCATGCAGTACACCCTTATCCAACATTTGTGCAAATCTAGAAGAATCAAGTATGAATGATTATTTTTATGAAAGAGTACATGAAAGAGAGGAAGCGGAGCAGAGTATGGAAAATAATACTTCAGCATCAACGAAAAAACGATTGCAAAAATTAAGAAAATTAAATTTGACTGTAGACAGTGATTCTAGTCTGAGTGAAAATGACGATACACCTTGTAATGTGGAAAACTCGAGGGAAAAGCTACTCAAACGATCTGACGAATATTCTAGTGCGTCAGACGACGAAGACGAAAATGTAGATTTCAATCGGGAAATTTCAATACAATTTGACAAGGAGTTAGAAAATGGTAAAGATTTCGAAACAGGGAGTCTATTGAATAAAGAAAGCAATAAAAAAAAATCAAAAAACGAAAACTTCTTGGAAAAGGAGGATACTTGTCATTTGGACAACGATGGCATTTTGGAACAATATACCAAAGTCAAAAAGGATTCACTTCTGCATATTAAAGAATTATCACTTGCTAGTAATAAACCAGTTGAAGAAAAATGGCACTCCTTAGACTGTTCAAGAAAACATAATTTTGATCAGGAGGTTGATGTAAAAAAATCGAACGAAAATAATCCGGGAATTAAGAATAGAGCGCAAGCTGTGAATAAAACAGTAACAATACATCGTAGACCGTGCAATGTATAAACATTTTCCCTTTCAATTTGCAATTATACTATACTTCACGATTTCCAATTTTTTCTCATATATTTCACTTTTTGCAGTTGCAAGAATTTGTAGATGAGGAAAGTTTAACACTTGAAACAGCAGTGTACTTTTGTTGTATATAGGTATTTAAAAATCAGTTAGTAGGAAAGAAAATAGTTTTAACAGAGAAAAATTTAAAACTAGGAAGACAGAAGTATAAAGTAACATATAGAAACGTAGATAACATATCTTGCGTTTTCGCTACTAAAAAACCTGGCAAACCTTACAAAACAGGTACTCCAAAAGGAAACAAATTACTATTTTTTAAATTAATATCGTTATAGAAATGTGGTATATTTCATGATTTTATTCATAGACTATATTCCCCCCTACAGTAAATATACAACCAGTGGCAAGAATCGTTGCACGTGAAAAAATCACTTGCAAGTCACTCAGGAAATAATGAAATTTATGTGCTAATAACGTTAAATGAACCGAGGATACCAATGGAATCGAAGATGATACAACCCGAATAAAAAGATATTTCAAGACTAAACGATTGAATATTGACAAATAAAGTGAATTAGTAATATTTATTTGTACCATTAGCGATATTATTATTATTATTATTAACGGTAATAATTTTTAAACTTATAACTAAGCGTAATACAATAAATTTGAAGTATTTATATTTTTAATAACGATTGCAGTTTATATGTCATGTTTGCGTTACTCTAAATATCACACATGGTTACTGCTATGGTTAAAATAAAAATAAAAATATTCAAATTCCGGAATACCTTCTTGCATCACGCGTTAAGTGATTAAAAGATTATGACGCATAGATTTCACAGTTGATATTTTTATTGAATCGCATAAATGAATTAAGGCTTAAATTTATGAAGTTTCCATGGCTGCAGTTGAATCTTCCGTATATTTTCCTTTATCTTTGCCCAATGCTGCTTGCCTACCTTTACTTCTCCTGTCAATAATTTTCTTGCGATCCTTGTCCATCTTTAACTTAACAATAACTGTCTATGGAGAACAAGAGATTGAAGTTAGGGAAGAGTAAATATATTTGATGAGAAAAGATAACAAAGTAATAATATATCAGTGCCAATTTTTTCTGCAGTAAAAAGACTAAGCAAATCAAATTCATAAATGCAAAGGAGAACCCTGAGCATGAATGTCATTGAAAAACTCCATGCCTTATTCTACGTGAATGGTTTAATTCATCATTCATCAAGATTAAATGGTATAATACGATACGATTAAAGAAGAAAAAATAAATTTTACCTTGGATGGGTCAATACCGACATACACGTTAGCACTGTTAGCCTTTTCACGTTGAATTCTTTCTATGTATATTACAAATTTTTTCCTGTACACTTGAGCAACTTTGCCAACTTGTTGACCCTTGTAATGCCCACGGACAACCTTTGTAAAAGGAGGATTGGAAAATTGAAGAAAAACGAAACGAAATAGAATTTAAAAAATTAAATTGAATCAGAGCCAATTCTTTAGTCATTCCCAATAATTATTATCAGGTTTAAAACAAATACCTTTCAACGTACGGTCAATTTGTAAGATTATTTAATACTACTTTACCTGAACTTCATCATCTTTTCGAATTGGCATCGAACGGACGTTATATTTTTGCCGAAGTTCTTTGGAAAGAGGAGCCGACATGAGTCTTCTACGAATATGGGAAGGCGCCGTGAAATGTCTCTTTCGATTTTTTCGGCGCGAGGAAGATACAAGTCGGTTGAATTTCATTGTTGTTGATTGCACCTGTAGATAACAGAATAGATTAGTGGCGGTCGATGTAGTTTCAGATTGATAGCAACAATAACGTATTTTGAAATATCACAAGAAAATCACGTGGTTTCTTTAAATGTAAATAACGAACAGGTTAGTTACTGTCGCTGGGAATATAATTATTGGCGGTATTTCACGAGGGGAAAAATATTTGTGTCGCTGTGTCATAGAATAGATAAGGTGATTTAGCTGGAAAATATTTGCGAACACTATTTATTTCAGTGTGATTGAGATCGATTTAGATTTCAACGAACTCACCGTCAACGGCTCGATTCCGTGACCTGAACCGGAAGAACGTTGACTGTTTAGTGCCGGAAAGATACGAATTTACCTAGATTCACGAGTGGATAATTCACTAAACGGACGAATTTCATTGGTTGGTCGACCATGCATTCGTTCAATTTCAATTGAACTTTACATTTATAACGCATTCGCGAATTGCAGATAAAATTATGACATATTTACGAGTTTCGAAGATAGCAAAGGTATATTGGACTAAAACTGAGCAATTACATGTACACATGATAAATTGAAGTAGCAGGGGAAAAGGATCGACGGCGAGGTATTTTTCGTTGAATGAAGTTTAGTTGAAGTTGGATGTAGTTTATTTCTCATTTCCCCTATGTGGTGCTAGTTCTTTTTAATTTTTCTACCAAGAGGAAAGTTTTCCGTGATCAAGAAGGTGCTCGCTCGTTCGTCTGATACAACGCAAGGTGAAACGGAGTGCGAGTTGTGTCAATCACAGTAAATGGTGGGTGGTTGTATCGTTGGAAAGTTACGGTATTACCGTTTCCAAGGTCTTGTAAAAATATCGCCGTTATGGGGCTATTAATCGTGCAAAATTATTCAACGTATCGTAGAATTCGAGTAAGTAAATAATCGATCGATAGAGGTATTGTCGTTTAACCGAAGAAGAGTATGTTTGTTTATATTTCAGCTGTGAAAGAGATATACTGTAATATGCAGATAGTAAAAGTACATATTAACATAGATCAATTAATAGAGAATCTACACAATAGTTTGCTCTCGTTTGAACGATTCTCCGTGATCCGAAATTTCGATCTTGTTCCTTTTTCACGTTATTACTTTTCTCTTTAGCCATAACACGATCGTTCTTTGTGTTTACATTTTCTGCAATCTGCTTTGGAAATGTCTAATTGGCACGTCGTCTATCTAACGACGATGACAGCCTTCTACTAAGAAAAGTATTTGTTTATAGTTGAGAAGCGAAAATAAAAGAAAGAATAATACTAATGTACGTACCTACTAGGTACATATACGTAAAAGGTATCTAACTAGGAGTAAATTATGTAAAATGATAATACAAGTGATAGAAGGAAGGGGACAATAGAAAAACGGAGGAAAGCTGATCGAGGATCGATTTCTGCAGGAATCTCTTTCACGAGTAATCGTGGTGTTTGAAATAATTCGATTTACGCCGGTTCAAAGGGATTTAATATTACACGCGACAGAGGTGACGGGGATTGACACTTGGCTACATAATATCTGAAACATGTTTCGTCTTGTTTTTCTCAATGAACGGAATTTGAACGGCGGCACATATCTGAAAAAGCGTTTAACGTATATAAAGCGTATATAAATAAACACTTGGATATATGTATACATACATATGTAGGTAGTTTAGATGTACGATGAGTTATACATATGTACGCGCGCGTGCATCGTTTTGTTCGTGTTCTAGGTCAGTAGAACAACGTGCAGGTCAATTTCCTAGGAAACGAATCGTTCAACCGAATATTTTTCAACGTAACGATTTTCCAACATACAACTTTTAACGGTATCTCCGAAATCCGATGACCTAGCGGAAGAAGCTCCAAGCAGAAGAAAAGACAAACGCAAGTAAATCGTGCTTCTGTAGACACCGCATAGAAAGAACGGAACGAGGAGGAGAGGAAAAATTGGGTGAATCGTAAAATGGGCTCTACGAGACAGCAGGACAGATTACTTGGCGGTGGAATATCTTTACCACAGTGGATGAAAGGAAAAAGTGACAATAGGTACATCACACATAGGAATTTTACGTAAAACTCGAATGAACATTTTGAAGTTGTGCAAGTCGTACTAACACGTTGCAGGCTCGTGATGCTATAACGCGAGGCGCGCTATGCCTCGCAGAATGTATACACATATGTAATATAGATGAGATTGAAATTGATTGAAACGGTAAGAGGCAATCTTTTTCAATCGGCAACTTGACAGGTGTACGTACGATATATTTGCGAAGTTATTTTGCGTGGAATGAAAGAAGCGGATCGTCTTACGGATTAACACTGAACACCATGAGAATTCTCTCGTTATACAGGAAGAAATAAATTTTGTCAGCTTGAAAAAATATTAAATACACACAAAATTTGGCCAACGCGAATAAATAGTTAATCGCATGAGCATCGTGCCCGCTATTCTTAGGCTCACGACAACACTCTTGATGAGAGTGCGGAGCGACTCGTGGTTCTGCTACGGCGCATAACGTTCGTTATACATACTCCCGTTTCGCTGCCGTCTCTCCCCCCCCCTACCTTTCTCTCTCTCTCTCTCTCTCTCTCTCTGGGTAGAGTACGTCGATCTATGTCAGAAACACGGATCGTGTAACGTCTTTTTATTCACGCATGTGTCCGCCGCGCAATGCATATTACCACGGATAGTGTCGAAGAGCTCGACGAAATATTCGCGTAAGACGTACAATTGTACGAACGAAACACATTATTCGCATCCGCCGCGTTCAGTACCGTTAGAGGATTTAGAGTTTTGTAGAAGGGAGCACTGTATTGTACTACAAAGAGCACACGATCTAGTAACGGTAAGAAGATAGATCCGAAACTGCGAGAGTATTCTCCAACGTGATCACGAATCAAAATCGTTCATCAGCGGGTTAGGGAGGGGGCGGGGGTCGAGCAACGATAAGAACGGGAGACAGGCTGAAAAGCTTCTTTACCTCTATCCGGTAGCGAACTCTTGTTCTCGCGTTAACCTTATTCCTCCACCATCTTCATCTTTCTCTCTCCCTCTCCCTCCCTTCCTTCATTCCTTCCTCCCTCCCACCCTTCCTCTCCTACCCCGTCTGCCTCTGCCCGCCCCTTCCCACATTTTCCGATGCGTTTTTACCAATTCTTTCTTCTTCTTTTTGTTTTACGCAGATTCGATTTCGACGACACCACGTTCAGTCCGCCATCTCACGACGACAGCTTTTTTTACATACGATATCCAAAGGGGCAGAACCAATTGTCTTGCGTTTTTACCAATTCTTTCTTCTTCTTTTTGTTTTACGCAGATTCGATTTCGACGACACCACATTCAGTCCGCCATCTCACGACGACAGCTTTTTTTACATACGATATCCAAAGGGGCAGAACCAATTGTCCGTTTCGCAGGAGTTTAGGTCGATCGACGATGCTTTTAGCGAAGAAAACGTGGCCGCTTCGTCGACGAATAACATAAAGGCACAGCAAGAGGGAAAACAACAGGTGACCGAAGAGAAGAAGAAAAAAAGCGAGGAGATTGATTTCAGTAAACATCCGTTACCCTGTCAACCGTTTGTGCCAACAGCTAGCAAAGGTATCGCTAGCTACTGAACTGATTGTTTGCACGCGTGCACGCCTTTCGGTCGATATACATATGTACATACATACTTATGTACTTGGATACATATCTGTTACTTTTCAATGTTGCATTTTAGAGAAGAAGATCGCCAAGGGTGCAACAAGGGCGAAGGGGGCTGGTCCGTTAACGGAGAGTAGCAAGGTCGCAAAGTCACAGGGGATAGACGATGGATTTCACGGCGAGCCAGCGCTTTGTGGAAAATCAATTGTCCTTGTAGCCAGTCAGATGATGTCTAACAGATTTCATGAAAGTTTCTCGGCCGAACAGACGGCCGCCGGCGGTGGTGAACCGAAGAAAGGGAGCAAATCTTTACCAGCCACCCCGTTGACTTCGCCCACGGGAAGTCCGAGTAGTTCGCCGAAAGCTCGTCGACGCGTCACCCCGTCGAATCGATACTTTACCGGTTCGCACCTAGTTGATCGTGAAAAATATCAAGGGGGCTGGATCTTGGCAAGCATCTTTGGCCAATCCAGAGAGATCGTTACCGCGAAAATCGACGAAGAGGACGAGACGGGCACGGAAATTTCGGCTGTTCCTCCTAGTAGAGCACTTAATCGGAAGAAATCTATATCGTCGCAAAATCTCACATATGTAGGAAGTGATGAAAAATCGGTCGACAAACCCGCCATCTATTCAAACGTATTTCAAGCGAAACCATCTGAATTAAGAGAGATGAATTTCTGGTCACCAACGTCCATGTAAACCGCCGCGCCGATCCGACGATGAAATTTGTCTTCTCGTTGTCTGCAGCTTATCGTTCGTTTACGCTTCAGCGTTAGCTAATTAATAATAATTCGTTGGAATTCCTTCGGGAAGAAAGCACGATAAGAGTCACCACGACGTAACATTCTTCGTTTACCGTGGTTTTCTTCTTTCCAAAACCAACCAACCAACCAATGCGTCGACAAAAAATAAATTTTCCCCCTCTTTGTTTTTTGTGTATTCTTATCGGTTTGTTTATTTTACAGCTATCATAATTAACATTTAGCTACGGAGTACTTGTAGTCTCCCCTCCCCCCTCACCCCTCTGTCTCTTAGCGTTATTATCGAAGAAAGTTGTTCGTACGATAGTCGATTCTCAGAAACCTGCGTCCCTGACTGTATATTATAATGATTGCGTTCTAGATAAGAAGTGCCGTAGAAAGAGAAATATTTGCGTATTGTAAAAAGAAAAAACGCGTTTTTGGAAAAAAGAGAGAAAAAAATGAAAATGATACTGAACGTAA